AAAGAAAGAAAGAAAGAAAGAAAGAAAGAAAGAAAGAAAGAAAGAGGAAAACTCTATGGTTATATTTTACTGACCCAAAATAGGAAACCACATTCTAGAAAGCTAGTTCCTCTTTGCCCTTCTTTCACATGCCGATCTATGGTTCAGCAGGATACGCCGTGAGAACTTTATGAGCAAGCTGGTTGAACATGCGTGCGGAGTTCTCTGAGCCACTTTCTTTTTGACCTGACTTCCTTCTTCCAGAGCGTGCTTCTTTCTTTCCATGGATTTCACTGGATTTGGCCCAAGGAAGACTATTTGTCTATCTTCAGGCTCCTCATCTTCTTGATCAACCTCCATTTTTATTTTTTTTATTTTTTTACCTCGAATGGGCTGGTTCTGAAGATGACCGGCAAGGGTGGAGTGTTCTCACCGGCGTGCATCACGTTCTCCTTGGCTATGCTTTTTGAGCTGAACTCGAAAACCAGGAGCCTGAGTCCCTGTTTGGAGGTAAGTGATGGCCTTGCGGGCCAAATAAATTGCAACATCCTAGGCAGTTTTGAGACAGTGACCCATTTTCTCAGTAGCCCTCCCCTTATTGCTTCCTGATATCTCCAGAAGTTGTGGGTGCTTCAACACTGGAGGCTTTTAGGAAGAGATGGACCAACCCTTTGCCTGAAATGGGATAGGGTCTCCTGCCTGAGCAGGGGGTTAGACTAGAAGACCTCCAAGGTGCCTTCTCGGTTATTCTGTTATTCTCATCTGACGAACTGGTAGGGTTTAAATGTTTCTCCTTTCAAAACAAATCCTACACTTCTAAAATCATGCATTTTTTTTTAATAAAAAAGAGGGGAGGGGTATGATTTAGGAAGTAATGGGACTGTTTAAAAATCAAAGTCACCAACCTACCAGATGGTAAGGACCAATAAAGGAGAATGTTTGTAGCTCAGGGTTGGAATGAGGGGTCCTTGGTGCTCTCTGAGGTTGGTTGTTTTCTTGTAGACATTTTACTATACAACTAGATAATATCATCACTGCTAGAAGGAAGTGGGGTTGGAGGAGGAGGAGGAGGAGGAGGAGGAGGAGGAGGAGGAGGAGGAGGAGGAGGAGGAAGAAGAAGAAGAAGAAGAAGAAGAAGAAGAAGAAGAAGAAGAAGAAGAAGAAGAAGAAGAAGAAGAAGAAGAAGAAGAAGAAGAAGAAGAAGAAGAAG